TTCACTGACACTTGCATTGCATTCGCTACCGATACCGCCAATCGAAGTCCTGTGACTGCTCCCATTAGTTCCATCCTTGGAATGCTCATAGCTGCCAGTGGTGCAACACGTGACTTTGCTGCGACAATATTAGTAGTAGCTGCATGATCAACGTAGACATACCTTGCATAAATAACAGCTCCATAAGCTTCTTCTGATGCATCACTGAAAACGTGTAATTGCATTGATTGAACATCTTTATGCTTGCCAGTGTGAAGACATCTTGGCACTGAAAGATTTGACAACTCGTGAAGTTCACTGTACCAACTCTGAATCTTTGACTTGACTTCGCCATCGAGCTCATCATCCCAATCGAAGCCTTGTCGCCAGATTTCCTGCATTACCACTTTTGCTCTAACGATGAATGGTGCCAAGAAACCAAGAGGGTCAAACAATGATGCAATGGTTCTCAGAAACGATCTCTTTGTGATGATTTGATTTTCTTCAGGTGGGCTTGAGTGAAAACTGAAAATATCCTCCTTTGCTCGCCAAAGTATTCCAAGGGTCTTTACAGTTGGAAGCTCTCCATTGTCCAAATCAATTTCAGATGCTCTGTCTTCTACTGGGATTGCAGAGAGAACTTCTGGAGAATTAGAGAGCCACTTTCTTGCATGCATGCCTGCCTTGTTCCATAGAGCTGCAAGCTGATGATACAGTTGGATTCCCTTTTCGTCATCTTGTACTGAATCAATGCTGTCATCCATGTAGGTTGACTTGAGTGCAGTTTCTGAAGCCATCGGATATTCTGATCTGTACAACTGAGCATGCTTTTGAATCACAAACTGTGCTTGAAACGGTGAACTTGTTATACCAAACACCACTCGGCTGAATTCATACTCCTCTGGATCTCTGTCCTGGTCACATCTTCTCCAAAGAAATCGATGATACACACGGTCAGCTTCTGGAATCTGAATCCTCAAATACATCTCAGCAATGTCACAGACAACAGCGACGGGATGACATCTAAAGCGTAGCAAAACATCAAACAATTCTCGTTGCAGCTTCGGGCCTGAATGTATCATGTCATTCAAGGATGTCCCTTCATACTTTGCTGAAGCATCAAAGACGATTCTGATCTTGGTGGTCGCTTTGTTGGGTTTCAATATAGCAAAATGAGGAAGATACCACTTGCTGTCAGGTTGCTTCTCAGAGACTGGAACCTTTCGTATGTATCCTTTGTCCAAATATTGATCAATGACTTCATCGTATGCCTTCATCACATCTGGGTTCTTGAGCAAACGTTTCTCGGTGTTCTGAAGTCTTTTCATTGCCATTTTGTGATTGTTCACCATTCTATAACTATCTTCTTTCCATGGTACTCCAACTTCATATCGACCATCAATGAACCTGAAAGAATTCTCAGCTTTTTCCAATGCAGCCTTCTCATCAGGACTCACCACTGTTGTCTGGGTGAACGTTCCAGCTGAGTCGATATCCCAAAACTTCTTCATTGTTGAGTTGATTTCATCGACATCAGATCTGCTTGTAGTAAACAAAGTCGTCTTGCTGAAATGGGTATCAGGGATCTTCTTGCCTTCTGGACATCCTACGCATGTCCACCCCAATGGCGTTCGTCTGGCAATGGGCTCTCCTTCTTGTCCCCTGACTTCTTCGTAAGAATAGTGCATGTCAAGGTAGTCAATACCAATCAGCAAATCCACGATAGGTCTCAAACCGGTGTCTGGAAAATCAATGTGCTTCAAATGAGGCCATTTGTCTGCTAGATGTGACCATTGGATGACCTTCATGTTTCCAGTTACTCTCTTTGCAGTAAGTGCTTTTACTCTGATGTCAACATCACCACTTACACTTTCAAGTCCAAACTCGACAGGCATGGTTTGAAAAGACTTGCAATCTTCAAAACATTGACCTTTATTGTTTCAAAGGTACCATTGAGACCCAGTTCTGCTGCAACATCTTCATTCACATACGTTTGAGTGCTGGCATCATCAAGAAGTGCGTTCAATTTCAATCTTCGACAGCCATTTTTCAAAACAACCGGAATGGTTCTCAATGCTGTTGCTCCTTTGACATCTGATTTTGAGCACACCATCGTTGTTTGTGTTGCAAAATTCCTCTGCAAACGCTCCCCCTCCGTGACTGACGATGACAACTGTTGCTGACTGCTACTGCTGACTGATTGCTGATTGAAGGCTTCTGGTGTCCTTGTTTCATTGCTGTTTTGCTTTCCAGTGATCCTGTTACCCATGCTATGCAGCAACTTGTTGTGTGTTTCCTGACATCCACGAATACCACACACTCTACTTCGAGTACATTTACTACCACTGTGGTCATCACCAAGGCACCGAAAACACAATTTGAAATGCTTTGCCACATTCCATCGCTGTCGAATGTCCATGTTTCGAAAAGCATCACATGCCCATACACCATGTCTACCATTGCACACTTTGCACAGTCGCTGCTTACCGTATTTCCCACCAGTGACACCTGATCTACCAACTTGAAAACGATTCACTTGTGTTAATTCTTCAGTAGCACCAAAGAATGTGGTTTTCTTCTCTCCTGCTAAGTTTCTTGATCTACTGTTTCTTCTTTCGCTTGATACACCATGCACTGTCTCTCTTGCAACTGTGTAGAATTCAGACTCTTGAATCACCCACATCTTCAGTGTTTCAACGCATTCTCTTCTTCGATTCTCAAAGATCCATCGATTGTACTGCGTCAGCAGTGTTTCTGGAAGTTTCTTCAGTAGCTTGATGTAGAGAGATCCATTTCCCAATTCATCGTGACGTCCACTCTCCAGTAGATTCACCACCAGAACATCAAGTAGATCTGCAAACTTCTCTATGTCTTTTGAACATCCATCTCTCACTGGTTTGAAATTATCCATGTCCTCCAAGTGAATTGCGATTTCCCTCCTCTTGCCACCAAATTTTCGCTCTAACCTGTCCTTTGCAGCTTCATATGCAGCTCCAGAAAAGCCAAGATTCTCGATCGCTTCCAGTGCAACGCCAGATAGATATTGCCTCAACTGCAGCAGCTTGTATTCAGGAGTCGCAGGAGCTCTGTCAATGCAAGCCAGAAATGCAGCTTTCCAGTTCTCATACTTTCGCTTGTCACCAGAGAAAACGGGAATCGCAACACGCTGCAGCTGTCGCCACATGTCCTGACCAAGTGACTCTTCGTGTGAATATCGCTCAGATCGTCTGTGATCACCACCAAATCTGACTGACTGTTGCAGTTGCTGTGAATGTTCCTCCGGGGTCATTGGAAACTGACTTCTTTTCGCGCCAACACCGACATTGGTTGACTTGTGCTGAAGCTCTTGTCGCTCAGAATTGTTGTGAAATTGAGAAGAATCAAATTTCGCTTCCTGAAATGGCAAATAAGTCTCTTGATTAAATCTAGGTGCTCCAAGGCTTACCTTTCGATCCTCTCGTGGGTTGTAAGATCCCGCTGTCTTACTTGATTCTGAATCTCTTCGTTCATCCAGATACTCCTGTACTCTGTTGTGGGTCTCTTCGAATTCTTGCACCAATTGCTCCATTTCCTGAGTAACTTTTTGTCTTGCTGTTCCGTTCTTCTGCCATTGATAGTGCTCTGACAGTGCGATCATGATCTTCAGTGCCCTTTCTTGTGTGCTGTCCAATTTCGTTTGCCCATCTCGAACCTGATGTCTGTTTGGTAGATCCATTTCTTCCACCAGTTCCAACAACTGCTTTCTTGCACGTGTGAACGCCGACTTTGCTTTTGCTTTTTCTTGCTTCAAGCTTTCCAATTTTTCTTCCAAATCTTCCACGTCTTCCCCTCTTCCGATTCCATCTTCTGTCCTTCCTTCTTCACCTGCGTTTGAAGTCATGCTTCTCGTCAATTGGCCTTCCTCTGTCCAAGTTTGTCCACGGCAAAAACTACCCTCTGCTACCAAATGTTTGAAAGACCGTCCGCGACTTTTGATCCTTAAGCCCGAAGGCTAAAAACTAACTAACTAACTACGAATACGAACCTAATTTATACTATTAACGACGTAAACAACTTTAAAATATTGTCACTAGTTTGATTGTCCATTACGCAAGGGATTAACAAATACTGTCCTCTAAAAACACATTAACACTCTCTACTAACCAACCATTGTCCAATTTAACGCAAAACAACTTGCTCAAACAACTATTGTGTCCAGACGCGTAAAAGTTATTGTTCCAATCAACAATTACAAGAATGAAAGTATCACATGTCTGTCTTCTGAACAATACCCACATGTATTTATGTGAAGTAACTGCTAGTTACAGGGTCGTTTTAGAGCTCTGAGTAGGGCGCCTCTGAGAAAAGGAGTGCCCTTTCAAAAGGTGCGAAAAAGGCTGTCTAGGAGAATGACATTTTCCAAAAAGTCGCGAAGAGAAAAGGAGTATTTTTCCTAAAGTTTGAAAGACACTCGTCCCGGTCCCCACATCCCGATTCAATTGCCATAAACAGGAATATTAAGTCAGGATTTACTAGTTCTCAGTGAATTTTCTGTGGTACCAACAGTAACAAAGTATTTGTATCCCCCGGTTCCAACATCCTCGGACCGTTTCTACAATAATAAATATCTTTTTATTCCAGGGTGTAAATGCGGACCGGGCTACCCGAGCCCACTTGACGCAATGAAAAATGGCGCAAGGGAGAAAATTGTCTACCTCCCGTGCATTTACATAAGCACGGGGGTAGATGCTAACGACTATTTGGCCACTGTTGATGTTGATCCAGATTCGCCAAGCTATACAAAGGTAAGTTGAGATTTAGGCCCTGTTCGTACTGAACACGATTTTGGTAAAGACTTCTGGCAGACTTACTCCCTATTGTTCAGGGGTGGAAGAAGTTTGGAGAACAAATGGGAAAGTTTGCATAACCCAATCACTAACTCCAATGATATTTGAAATCCATTTCAAAGTAATAAAACAATTTAATACCCCAATATTATTTCTATTATATATCTTTATTGCTATTCAACAATGATAATTGTTTTATGCAAGATTTAAAAATTATACCTCTTTGTATGTACTAAAAAGTTGATAACCCACCTGGATAAGTGAAAACAATTTGATAACCTAATAAGGCAAAGCTGAAAAATTCCACACCCCTCCGAAAATTCCTCCACCTTGGCACCCAGCATTATTAATGACGACCCCTTTAAGCCATTTTTACACGAGCCCGGGCCATGTCAACACGCTGCGGTAAAAAATTTACGTTTACACGAGCCCGGGTCAGAGTGGTGTACCCAAGGGGGGAATAGGGGGGTCCGGACCCCCCCCACTTTTCTAAAGTATGGTCCTCAAGATTTGTCCAAAAACGATGTAAAACTCATGGGGGGAGGGTAGTATACTGTATGCTTGTGTCAATAACAATTGTAAAATACTTTGCTATTTACCGAAGCTAACACGAATCAAATAGTGGGGGAAAATTTTGCAAAAAGGGCGTTTCCTCGCATTTGCGAGTGTTTGAAGGGCGTGGTCCAAAAAGATTTTCTCCAGACCCCCCACTACTACAGCCCTGGGTACGCCCCTGGGGTCAGCTGGTTCCTTTAGGGGGTTGACCTCAGGGTTACACACGACCCTGGGTTGAGCTGACGCGACTTCACACGAAAAACTTCAGAAGCAGCCAACCTGTCTCAACGCGCACAGCTAGAAGCAAATCCGGGCTCATGTAAACAGATTGGTTAAGGCAATGATGCTGTGAGTGGAAAGTAGATCCCCGCAAATAAGAACCTGAGAACTTAAGAACATATAAGCTTTCTTTCTTTGATTAATTATCTTGGATTCAAGCAATTTTTTGGCTGATGTATACAAATGTCTTAATATATCACCAGTAGCTTAACAGAATATCACCTGGGATCTATTATATATTTCTATAGATATCTTAGGAATCAAGCTGAAACGGAGCCCGTATCTACGTATTGCAACACGCTCCCATCCATTGGTGTATAGCATATTAAACAGAACAGCTAGATGCAAAAATGACAGGTTACTTTTGTACGGTTGAGAGTTTACAAAAAACTATGAAAAACCACGGACGATGGAGTTTAAATTTTTATGAATTACAATGACAACCAGACAATAAAAACAATCAAAGTTTTAACTACGTCACCATCTTTCTTTTTGCCCCAGGCCCCGAAAAAGCTCTTGGCGGGCCTCGTTAAAAATGCGTTGGAAGATGCAGGGAGGAGTCTACATGGAAAATTCTAACTCCTTCTATTGTTAAAGAGACATCCTTTGGGAGATCCCCCATAAGTTGCCCTTTTAGTAGCAGCCTAGGCTAACAACGATAAATTTTATAACTATGACATCACAATCTTAATGCTTCTTCGTAGGTAATTCACAGGACTACGATTCCAGTGAAAGGAGCAGAGCTCCATCACAGCGGCTGGAACTCATGCAGCAGGTGCGTTCGCAGCTCTATATCTGGGCTACCCAGTGAGGTTGGGGCTTCCAAGCTGTCTATCTCCCCCCACCCCCTTCTCGTTGTTCTCAGAAAGTAGTTTTAGCAATCCAGTTATTTTCCCCTTAGCTTTATGCAAACAGAAAATGATTTTGCCCCTTGTCAATCCGAAGGGCAAACCAATTTATAAAAATCTCGTACACCATTATCGGAAATTTTATTGTATTTTCTGGAAATCCCTTGAAATCCTTTTGTTTTCCTGCAAATCTCTTACGCTTTTTGCAA